CGATCTCCCCAAAACCCCAAAACCCCATGTTGAAAGTATTTTACTACTTCAGAAGAATTAAATCAATATATCTAAAATTTAAAAGCCTATAAGTGATTTATTAAATCACTCCTTTGAATTTTAAAATTTAAATCCTGGATATTTATTCTTGATTAGTTCAAGATTTGCTTAAACAGCATCATTGACATTTTCGCCTCTATTATTCAGTATTTCCTGGACTGATGCTGGGACATTATCAAGATAATATTTCAATATCTCGTTAGAGCCATTTTTACCTGCAATGTGTAAAGGGGTATCTCCCATATAATTTTATTTCTCCAATTCTTTCACTAATATAGAGGTATCTCTGCCAATAATCTATTGAAGCTATATCAAGTTGTGCTTAGCTGCATAGTGGAATATTGTTTCATAGTAACAATTTTTGATGGAAAGATAATCTTCTCCATTATTTATGTATTATTACAATATCTTTTAATCTTCAAAGTTAAAGATTTCATTAAGAAGGGATATCTATTACTTCTGTAGAGGCTTCTACTATCCCTTATAAACAAATTATTTTAAATAACTTTGAATTTTAACCTCGTTTGATTGATTTTTCAAATGGTTTTCCTCGATAAATTTAGCTAACCCACTTTTGAGTATCCATTAAAATACTTCAAAATCGAATGGGTTTTCTGATTAAAACATATTTCTTTTGAAGGTCTCATCTTTTACAGTCAAAATATCATTAATTATAGAACCAAAGATTTGAATTGCCTATGGATTCTTTAACTTTACTGTAATATGAATTGGAGTTAGCATATTATTATTTGGAATCAAACTAAGCTTTGGCCTCATTTTAAATATCATTTGAATTAGCTCAATATTGCCAGTTAAACAAGCGAGATGTAGACTGTTATTTCCGTCTTAATCTTTGCTCTCAAGATCAATGCGATGAAAGTTATCAAGAATAAACTTTAGAATTTCTACTCTATTATGTTTGATAGATAGTCTAATCGCATTTAAGTCATTTTAGATTGATTTTTCTAGTAAGTAGTACTATTTATTAATACTGTTCTCATGATTTGCATATGATTTGCTCAGAATATTTTTAAATTCTTGAAAAATTCCGTTTACTATAGTGTAATGAATTTACTGAACTTTAATTGATTCTTGAAATTGCATCTCCTCTTTGTTTATCATTACATTAGTATCAATCGACTTAGTTTACAAGACTCTATTATCTTACTTGTTTGAATTTTTGTCCTCGTATTGACTTGTTAGTCTCAAATTATACTTATCTATAATTGCTTCAAAATTATCATGCTTAGATCCCTTTCCTGGACCTAGATTTAATGGATTATATAATATTTACTATATTTACCATTTTAATCAAAGATAACAAAATCTTAGGTTTTGCCATTTTCAAATGTTTTGAAGGATTTTTTATCGATATCTACATTAATGATATTCTCCTTATCGTCATCCAAATCTGGTTCTTCTCTCATCTCAGCTTCTTTCTAAAGCAGATCAAAGGAGGCTCCTCTGTCTCCATGGGTCTGCATGAAGAAGTCTCGGGCAACCTAGGAGATGTTAGAGTCATCATCTGTGATGAGCTTCTTGGTGTTCCTCTTCTTGTTGAGGTCCACTGCTTGAGAAGTGAAATGTTCATCCTGCAAGTCCCTCTCAATATCAATCGGTGGACCTTTTGTAAAATTAAAATAATAAATTGGTACCTTCATCGTCCTCCTCATCATCTAGGAGCTCATCATTATCTATGTTTTAATTTTATTAGTGGAATATTTTATTTTCATCAATAATCTAAATGATCTCGTCTTCGCCCTCATCTAGGTCTCTTCCATAGAGTTCATCGGCATCAAGAATATCCTCATCTCCAATAGCATTATTTTTATCACTCTATGCTCTCAATTAATTTTCACTAACTTCAAAAGCAAATTCAGTTCTATCATATTTCTTGCCTTTCAGATCATTTTTATTGAACTTCATGTTTTTCTCAAGCATCTTGTTCTCCCTCTAAATCAATAATGATTACATCATAATCATACTTCAAGCTCCTATTGTACTGTTGAAGGAGGTCTAGTGAACTTTTTTCTCTTCCTTTAAATTTGTGCTTCTTATGTATTCACAACAGACTATATCTGATTAATTATACTTATATACATTCTCTGTCTCAACCTTAAACAAATTAGTCTTGACGTAGCCAGGGTCATTAAATGCAGCTAATGAATACAGAATCAATGTTGTGATAGTGAAAAATCTAAGATAGTGTAAAACTGGTTAAATACATAAATAGCAAGCTGAGACTTAGATACTTTTCTTGAAAAAGATATTGCCTGCTAAACACCAGGATAGCGATTGGAAAAGCAGTTTACAGAAGCAAATACACTAATTTGGGCATTAGTTCTGTGGGGTAAACGTTAATTGTAAATTAGTGTACTTTGTTTGAAGACAAAAAACTTGTACTATTTCTTGTGTGATGTATTTCTATTGTCCATTATTCAATTTGTAATTTAAATTTGGAAATATAATAAATTTGATTTTGGCTAAATTATATTTATCTCATGGGGTTTTGGGGTTTTGGGGTTTTGGGG